AAACAGTTACGGTAATTAATAATAAGTGCTCGAATAGGAACATATTATATTAATCGCATCAAGCATAGCCCATCAACGAAAATGAATGTTAACAATTAAATTTTCAACGGTATTAAAGACCAAAATATGTGTTACTAATATTCTAATAATAATTTAACCAAGGACTTTTAAAGTTTAAATGTCATTACTTTAACATGGAGGTATTTTACTGTCGAACAATACTATACTGCACCACATTTTAAGAAAAGTACTTGCCCGGCTAAAACCACCTCTGAGTTTGGAGGTATATACTCAACTATACCAGGAAACAGTAATAATTATTGCTTATACCTCACTATAATAACAATTCTCTGACTAAGCACTTTTAACTGCAAGTTAAAGGTTGCTTCTACTTAGAACTATTAAGCGAAATTTGAGCAAAGCTATATAATAGGATAACTTTCAAAGCATGAATGCCCCTTAAACAAAAGACGATTTGCAAGTATTACAGGAAGTACATGTGGTTTTAATTCTTTTGGTTCTTCAAAGGATATGAAAGTTTCAAAAACCTCAATAAGGAAACGATTTACTGGCTTAGAAAACATACTAACCTGGCTGTGTAGGTTTTATGAAATCACACCAATGAACATACTGTTACATTACAATAATTATTGCTCGCGGGATAAAATAAATGTTAGTTGCATCCCATGTTTCTAATGAAGCTAAATTACCTTCTTTTTATCTTGCGTCCTAATATTTTTAGCCAGCTCATGTAAGTATTTAATAAGATTGGCAAACCAAAGAGCAGGCATGATATAAGCGTCACTCCATATGCCTATACTATTGCGAAGAATAATAATTCGACATTTTTAAGTCGCCTTTCCAAGGAGATCAACACTGGCACGGCAGGCCCGTAGCCAGGACATTTCAAGGGGGGTTCTCTGGCCGTGGGATCCAGGGGCCTGCCTAAGGGCCACGGTGGGGTCGGGCCCCCGAAGCCAGAGCAGTTTTTGTGTTTAATGGGTCTATATGATGTTTTAAAAGCAGTTAAGTTTTGAAAAAGATCTATGTAATTAAAAGGTGGTAATATAATAAAATTAGAAAATATTTTCCGAGAATTGGCATGTTTAAATAACACCGAAAGATATAAAAAAAAGCCTCATCGCATAATCAATATCGATATACTCAACACATTTATTACTATAAAACAAAAAAAGCTATTCTTCTTATTCCTCCTCTTCCTCTTCATATTATTCTTCTACTACTTCTTCTTGACTCTCATTTTGTACACTGAAAATAATAGTACTATTTTACTACATGGCTAAAAAAGCACAAATATTGTCATTACTACTGACAGGGCCATCGTTAAATTAAGTCAGAGCCCCAGAGCCCAAAATATAGTATCATATTCAATACGTCATCTGATTTGTTATATACTAGGCCTAAATAGATACCGGTACGCATCTTGAAATTTGCTTAATTGTCACCAATTTTTCAAGTTGAGTTAAGAATAATTTTTGTTTTTTTAAGCTTGAGTAGACAAGACAAACATACTTGTATTTCCCCACCACTTATATTTGTTTAATAGCTGAAATTCAAAACCCATCGTGCATGTCGTTGTATAGTCTGCTCGCTTTCAACTTCAAAATTTATTATTGTATACACTCTCGGCTTATGATTTATATATTATTTTGTATACATTAATATGTTATTATGATATATTTGTGTTTGTATCTCGCATTTGACCATAGGCCTAATGAATACAAAGAAGGATAAAACAAAGGAGAGTAAAAAAGACAAAGAAAAAGGAAGAATAACCAAGGAGAATATTGGCCTTCCACAAACCTTTCTGTAAGTATACCTAACCTTTAATGTTAACGTAAAACCTAAAATGGAAACCCTGTGTATTCATTTGCTTGAATTTTAGGGTGGATTGCAATAGAGTATGAATTACTAAAAAAGTAATAGGTCACTGTTATTTGAACATTTGAACAAATTAACCCATGTTTATTGTGTCAACACTCTACAATCATAATTATGCAAGTAATAGACTTTTTTTTAAATTATTATACTGAAAACAAATCGCGGACGGTAGTCATTCGGTTTACATTGATTGACCCTGGTCCTAGCACCTAAAAATAATGAAAGTAAGAATGATATAAATATAACAATAGTATTGCATTTCACAGACATGTCGACCATACAGGGTGGAGCACGAATTCATGGATTGATGTAAGTAAATACAGCCTCTTTCATTTTTTGTCATGACTTTGAGGAGACACAATGGTGAGGGTAGTGGTCGTATTGACCCCCCCCCCCTCCTGGACCACTTTTGAGACACTTTCAGCCACACCCGACACACGCTCACGTACGCTCTCGTCGAGGGTAGGGTATCACCCCTGTCCACTCACCCAACCTCCGTCATCCCTCTGAAGGCAATTACGCAAGTGGTGTTTAGCCTCACCATTGCGTCCACAACACCGTGTGTTATTCTATATTTTCTACTTGGCTCATTTAACGATTGACTTGCCCTCAACAATCAAGAACCACATACTTCATACCGTAAACAACAAATTGCAGCTACCCTACATTAGTCTCTACAGTCAGAACTAAAATTATTCCTGTGAATAGGCCTAGATTTTCTTGTAATTACAATAATTGTAACTGTGATTCAACAGGTCGAATCCCCAAAGACTGTCCGAAGAAGAAAAGCAGATTATGAGGTAAGACAGATCATTTTCTAGGTTATTATACTTATCAACATCATCATTTATGATTATCCTCTTATTACCATTCATTATAACGCTAATTATCCACACTTAGAATGGTCACCGGTTGATGTATATTTATTTATCCTTTATACATTTTGCTAATAGGGGCAGCGAAACGTCTTATTACTTATTGCAAAAGGGTTGGAATTCACAAGGAGACAACAATGCAGTGATACCTGCATGGTTTTCACCTAACTCAAAAGTATATGCCACAATGTGGGATTATAACACATATCATTATATACTTGAATATTGTTTCTCTGTAGATCAACACCAAGGACCCGGCAGTCAAAGCCTGGTTTGCGTCCAATAATATAACAGAAGCCGATTTGAAAAATCCAAGCAAAGCCGTAAATGACTTAATCAAGCAACATGGCGGTATGGCTGCCATCAAGAAGAAAGCTGAAGGTATGCAATCTAGTGGGTAGATTTTTAACTTCACTATCACAAATAAAAAGTATTTTTCCGGTTTCAGCAACTGCTTCGGTAACTTTATTCTGACTAATGAACCCTTGGTTTAACTGGGTCATTAACGCTTCGTTGAGTTAGTGGGTTCATCAACAAGTATAATTTTGCTTGTCTGCTCTTGTGTCTCTTGTGCAACTGGGACGTCCTCTAAATATTTTTCCATGTTTGTTTTTCTGGTTTTAGTTTACGTAATGTATGGAATTCTCTTTTCCAGAAATGACCAGAACCTTAGTACCCTTGCTTTTAATGATTCTGTCATGCGTATTAGTTTACCCAATTACTTACTGACTTACTTTTAAAGAGTTTTTCCCAGTGGAAATATTGGCACGTGGTGCTGAAGCGTTAAATGCTTTTAATGAAGCTCTAGAGGAGGGAGAAACAGATGTTAATCAAGCTAGAACCATTTTCATTGGTCTAGAAAGAGTGGGAAAAACGTCTACCATCAATTCATTTTTGGGAAAAGAGTAAGTATAGGTTTATATATAACACATTATTTTATTCGAAACTTGTTTACAGAGTTTCTCTTATTATACCAAATGGTAATCAATATATTCATTAACGCAATTCGTTTATTCTGAATAGCCTTAATAAAGACGAGAAAATTACAGACGCCATGGTGACAAAAAAGTTGATGTGCACTCAAGATGCAATATGGAAGGAAAAATCACATGACCTTTGTAAGGAATTATAAACATTAGCAGGGGAAAATGGTTTAAAATTTATTTTAAAATTTAAAATAAATATTTTAAAATATATGTGTAAGACCCGTTAAAAATTCTTTAAAACCCATTGAAATCCAGTCTAAAATAATATTTGTTTTCGGAAGCAATCTTAACTGGTTCAAATGATAATGTGATTCTACTGGGTTTCAGAGTGTTTTTAAGAATATTTCACTCCCAAAAATGACTTAACTTAGGGCCTATATTTAGAAATATTAAACCTAAGTTAAAACTTTTACTTGTGTTTTTGTCTGTTTTTAAAAGCTGGTATATATGATGACGCTCTTGTAGACGAAGTTACAAAACGGGTTTTAAAGATTTCAGATGAAGCTACTTCAGTGCCATCAGTGACGCAACAGGTATTTGGAAAGGAACTTAAGCTCTGTCAAAAATATCTTGTGCCTATAGTGGTCATGATGTGATGTCATCATGGCCATATTGCATGTTTTTTTGCAAACAAAATTATAGTCTGGACAGGACTTAGAGTCCCATTCCCGGCAAGATTTCAGTTGTTAAGAAAAATCTGATTTTTATATATGTTATAATGATTTATAAATTTAATACGAAATTGCTAATTTAACTGAATTTAGACATTCCTAAACATGAAAAAAACACGTAAAATAAGACAAATTGGATTTTTTGTGTTCCACACAAAGAATAAATGCAGATGGATTTTTCATGTTTGATTTTGCGATAGGTCTGCAAAGAAACATTTAGGCGCCGAAAACATTAGCCTATCCAACACTGCTAGGCTAGGCCTAGCCTTAGCTCGATTAGGTTCTGTTATCACACAAAAAAACGGCCGACATAATACTTTCCGTTGCTAGTATTGACACTTGTGAAATACAATATTTCATATTTCAAATCTGTTAAAAAAAAAAAATTCTGACCGAGATTTTGACAATTTAAATAAACATATCTTAGGCCTACTCAATCGATCGCAGTGTGCGAGATGCGAAGTAAGTACAAAAACCAATTTCCTTAGAGAGGGCGCGCTTTATTGACAGTATAAATTATACATAAAAGCGAGAGCATTCCAGCGGATTCGATCTACAACCTCTGAATTTGTCTAGTGACGAAGAATTCGTCGAAAAATTGTAATCTCCTATGAGAAATAGTCTGTATTTCTCTTCTTTTTTTTTATTCTTTTGTGTAAAACTAAAATTTATGCCAATATTTTTCCATTGTTTATAATAAATAGAGTAATGCATATGCATTTTTTCAAAAAAAAATTCTTTTTAGTGAAGTTTTTCCGGGAATGGGGCTTTAACGTAAATTGGAAGGATTCGATCTGCGCGAAAACGCGCGACGTTAGAAAGGATTCACGGACGTGTGACCGTCCTACGTTCTCCGCACAACGTATAGGCCTATTTGGTCAAATTGCGTCCTAGAATCCAAGGGGGAGCTTACCGGTCTCGCATGCACAGATGATTTTTTTTTATTGACGTATCATCGCGTCGTGCAATCGAAAGCTCCATAGTAAAACCACTGAACTACCAAAAATACGGTAGTGTTCATGTAATTCAAATTGCGAAACATGTCATTGCTACACCCGTACCAATGAACAAAGCACCTTTTCCAAATCAATAAGTAAATCACATAGGGCCTAGATTTTGTTGAGCATTGTATTTAATAAAAACTGATTCCTGTTTACTTTTTTTCAAGCGGATGGAGAAACAAATGATAGCAGCTGACAAAATGACAGTTGGAGACAATCAAGGTACAATTATTTATAGTTTGGTTTTGTTTTATATAAATATTTGAGGGAACATCAATGTAAATAGAATGATTTTTTATGGGTTTTTTCTAAGTGATCCTAATTATGAATTATTTAATTTGGGTTATTAGCATCTGAAATTCCTAGATGTAAAGAAAGCGGACCAGACGCAGAAAGAAAAATGGGAAAGCAACAGGAAAAGCTTCCAGAAAACATCGTCCGTAAAGTTGCGAAAAATATTAATGACATCAAGTTCACAAGAAAAGCAACAAGTGGATGGCAAAAGACTGGCAAAGACTTCATTATAAATATCTGGGACTTTGGAGGCCAGCCGATATATCACGTGATACAACGAGTAAAGTCATTTATATTATCACTTACACATGATATTGCGCTTAAAATTTTACTTAGCCTAAAGCCTGGTTCTCACGAAAGCCAGTATCCGAATCGGGAGCTAACCGTTAGCGCTAACCGTTAGCACCTGTGTGGGAACGCCCGATAAGTTAGCGCTAACCGTTAGCGGTATCCGGATACCACTAACGGTCAGCAAGCGCTATCGGTTAGCACGTTGACCGCGTTTCTATCATCAACCAATCACCACACGTACACGTTTACAATTTCCAGTTTCTTATTGGCCAGTTATTCGATCATCATATTCTTGGTATCCGGATCGGGATCTCTTCGTATGGGCGCACGGCTAACGGTTAGCAGGATCCGGATCTCACACGGCTAACCGTGTGAGAACATAGCCTTTGTGTAATGTCATCTTTTGTTGTTGTGACCTCACTGTTCGCGTGATCCTGGTTTTGATATCCAATTATTAATACATTATATGCTGCAATTCATTTTTCTAATAATAATAATAATAATAATAATAATAATAATAATAATAATAAGCAATTATCGTTAGAAATATAGCGTAGGTGAAAATTAATATGCCATATCAACACATCATATTTTTTTAGATATTCCTGGTGTCTTTTTCCATTGTATGTGTGGTGTTCAACCTCGAAGATGATCTTGACGCCCACGCCCAAGTTAGAGATCCAACAACAGTAAGTGTACAGAGTTTCAATTGGGTAATAAACGTAACTCTTCGATCTATAGACCTTACCGGAGTGTCAATCAAACTTAACATAATATAATAATAATAATAATAATAATAATAATAATAATAATAATAATAATAATAATTAATTGTCTTTATAATTTGCATTTCGTCAGCCTTCTGTAGGTCTACATTTTTCATTGGAATTGCCTGTGTTGAATTTTAAAATTCCATTTATGTTTCTGGTTTCAGGGTAAAATTTACCAACATCGAATGACAAACCTCCAGTTCATTCTTTACTGAATTCGGTCAGTATATACGAATAGTAGAGAACTAGAATTGGATAACGGACAGCTTTCTCCACCAGTGTTATTGATAGGTACGCACCTAAACAGCCTTAGAGGAAATGAAGAAGAAAGAAAAAATCAGGTAAACAACATACATCACATAGGCCTGGTATTTATAGTACTTATAGTACAAAAACTCACGTATGTCATTATAAAATCAGGCCGCACTGTGTGCTGTAAGCACGTCAACTAAGCTGATGGTAGCTACTATCATAGTGTGCGCTGATTCGTGGAGTGGTCCTCGATTCAATTTCTATCGCTGCCTCCTTGTTTTTTTTTTCAGCTTGAGGGCTGAAATACGAGTTTCATTAACGAACTGCCTTTCGGATTAGAAGTTTTAAGCCGCGCAAGTTGGCTCATGTTCACGTTAAATTACGCAGTACATTGTTTGGAAAAGAGTAAGGGATTGTCTTTCGGAGGCGCCCTACTTCCTAATCACCACCAGAAGGACTCCACTGGAAATTTAGTCTTCTTCATACTTTTGTAGATTATCCTCGATGTTTACAGCGAATAAATCCATTCCAATCCAATATGAATAAAAGACATGCAATATTAGATTTATATTCTTCTTTACAGATTAATTATAGCTAGACTCAGCAAACCGACCTGTGTAACCCCATATAAAGATGTGTATAAGAGACAGCTATAGACCTTACCGGAGTGTCAATCAAACTTAACATAATATAATAATAATAATAATAATAATAATAATAATAATAATAATAATAATAATAATTAATTGTCTTTATAATTTGCATTTCGTCAGCCTTCTGTAGGTCTACATTCTTCATTGGAATTGCCTGTGTTGAATTTTAAAATTCCATTTATGTTTCTGGTTTCAGGGTAAAATTTACCAACATCGAATGACAAACCTCCAGTTCATTCTTTACTGAATTCGGTCAGTATATACGAATAGTAGAGAACTAGAATTGGATAACGGACAGCTTTCTCCACCAGTGTTATTGATAGGTACGCACCTAAACAGCCTTAGAGGAAATGAGGAAGAAAGAAAAAATCAGGTAAACAACATACATCACATAGGCCTGGTATTTATAGTACTTATAGTACAAAAACTCACGTATGTCATTATAAAATCAGGCCGCACTGTGTGCTGTAAGCATGTCAACTAAGCTGATGGTAGCTACTATCATAGTGTGCGCTGAATCGTGGAGTGGTCCTCGATTCAATTTCTATCGCTGCCTCCTTGTTTTTTTTTCAGCTGGAGGGCTGAAATACGAGTTTCATTAACGAACTGCCTTTCGGATTAGAAGCTTTAAGCCGCGCAAGTTGGCCCATGTTCACGTTAAATTACGCAGTACATTGTTTGGAAAAGAGTAAGGGATTGTCTCTCGGAGGCGCCCTACTTCCTAATCACCACCAGAAGGACCCCACAGGAAATTTAGTCTTCTTCATACTTTTGTAGATTATCCTCGATGTTTACAGCGAATAAATCCATTCCAATCCAATATGAATAAAAGACATGCAATATTAGATTTATATTCTTCTTTACAGATTAATTATAGCTAGACTCAGCAAACCGACCTGTGTAACCCCATATAAAAAGTTATGAAAATGCATTCACAACTTTACAAATTGTCTGATAAAAAATTATCGTTTATTTCAGGCTGATGAAATATTCAATAAAATCCATCAAGCTCTGGATGGTAAACCTTATGAGGCAATGGTGTTTCCAACATTCTTTGCTATTGAGAACAGCTTGTCATTCGCAGAGAGCAATGCTTCCAACATTATGAACCAAATTTTAAAATTCGCAGAGAAACTGGTCAAACGTCTGCCTTTAAAATGGTTGCGAGTTCAACAGGAAATCCAGAAATTGAAAGAGAAGCATATCTATTTACCAACCAATGAGGTGAGCAATTTCATATAAATTGTTAATATAGAATATAAAATTCCACTAACCAATTACACTAACTAATTGCTAACCAATGAGGTTAGCAATTGTGTCTGTAATAGGTTTACAGTCTCTAAAATTAATTGCTCAATGGTTGAAGATGTTAGTAGCACAGACATTAAGCAAATAACAATAATAATAATAATAATAACAATAATAATAAGATTATCAAAATAATTATAAATATAAAAAAATATGAAAAATTGTTTTTCTGTACCAGGTAATTGCTTTAGTTGACCAATGTGGGGTCAAACAAGAAGGTCAAAAGGTGTTACTTGAGTATTTACATGACCTTGGCGAGATTCTCTACTTTCCTGATGACGAAGCCTTAAAGGACAATATTGTTTTAGATTCGGTTAGAATCGTCGATATGTTAAAAACAATAATCACGGTTATAGACCGCAAGCTTCGAGTAAGTTCAATATTTTAATATTTTTAAAAATATGCATTTACTTTAAAAAATAAAATTATAAATTGTATATTAATCATTCCTTAAAATTGTTTTATATAGTTGTTTAAAAAAGCATTCGTTGGTTTTAAATTGTATTGTATTCAATTCTATACAATCTTTTATTTTACACAAAGGTCTATATCACCATAAGCAATCTTCAGCATATTTTTGCATAGGCAAACAAGCAAAAACATTACATATACATTCAAGATTCATACTATTCTGCATTCATTCAATTACATCATGACTAAATTTTCATTAATTTTTATCAATGAACATCATGCTAGCATTATTTATCTTTTATTAATAATCAGGAACCACGTTTGAGAGACGCCTGGAGGAAATTGGACAAGGGAATCTTAGAAGAACATCTTTTGAGACACCTGTGGGAAAAGTTCAATTTTTCAGATGAGACATTTGACTTCTTCGTATCTCTCATGCAGAAGTTTGGACTGGTTTGTGAGAGAAAGACTACAAAGGTATTAAAACAAAAATGTTCCTGTAATTTTGCCAAGATTTTTGTTTTTGTTTTGTTTTGTTTTGTTTTTTTTTTTGTTTTGTTTTGTTTTTTTGTTTTTGCCTATGTTTCATTCTATCAATCTATTAAATTTAAATTGTATACATTTCTTCTTGTGATTAATAAACAATGTAAAATTCCCAGCATTTATTCTTTCTTTTACTTCTTTATCGTCCGTTTTTGTGTTATAGGGTAGTGAACGTATTTTCTATGTTCTTTCGCGTTTGAAGCCTGAACGTGTAGACACATCACCCATCGATTATAATGGAAAGGGCACAGTTTCAATCTTCCATGACTTCGGTAACTATCTTCCTGATGATGTCTTCCAGCGTGGAGCAACTAAATTCATTGAGAGATTCCAAGTAGAAGATAGTGAAGCTAAGCTCTCTTATGAGCACGTGGAGTTGGACATAGATCAACACCATCAAGTGCTGCTAGATGTTGCCACCATCAAACACCGTCGTATGTTCCAGGTATATTTCCTTTATTTTGATTTACATTTAGTATCATGTTGAATATAGTTAGTATATTATAGTTCTTATTTCTATTTTTTATTGCAAATGAAATATTTGTTATTTGAAATAAATAAACAAAATACTTAAATTTCACATAACAAAATTACATTTTGTGTATGTAAATATTGCTAGCAGTCTGTTCTTTATTATGTTGAAATTTGCAAACAGGTTTACTTTTCTGCTCAATTTTGAGATCACAGTGTAGGACACTTTATAAAGAATTTAATCCATTAACGACTTCGAGTGTATGTACACAGGGAGGTAATTCTCCGTTGTCTTTATAGATAAAAACTGATAGCTTGGTCACTCCAAACTTTGTAAAGATGTCTTCGTGTATGTCTTGGATGACCATTCTAATGAGTTTATCAGGTCAGTTTCCAAACTTCTAATAGTACAAGTTAATTTTGTATTTTGTAGACAACTATCATCAGACGAACAATTCTCAACAGGTCTAATCCTACCGAGGAAGACAAGAAAGATGACCCATCACCGGAAGTGTGTAAGAAGGTACGGTGTTAGAAAAATATATTATTTTGAGAGTTTGATAATCAAGAAAGTATTTAATTTAAGTCTTTAAACGTAGACGCGGTTATTTTTTTTTTTCAAGCAAGTAGTGCAATATTGTTGCTAAAATCCCACAAAGTAAATAACACCATTATCTCCAACTGCCGTGCTAAACTGCTCAAATATATCCTTTCTCTTTCAGGTGCTGAAATTCCTTGAATCAGCATTAAAGGTCTTCTGTCAGAGCGGTGGACGAGGGGTTGAACTAACGATGTACATTCGATGTGTATGTAGTCCAAACATAAGGGACGCCCATATGCATATTGTGCGCACATTTCATAAGGATGTGCTGCCATGTGGAAGCAATGGAATGGAAGTCATGCGCTACCGTCGATTATTTGGAGACAACATTCTACCGCAAGATAAACATAAGCCTAATTCAGGTGTGCATTGGCAATTTTCCTTTTTAAACAACTAGGTCTAATTGTAAACTCAAATTGTTCATAATAACTAGCTGTGAAACAATAATTTGTCTAATAAGTCTAATAATGGACATCAGTGGTAGCCACAGAACGAGGGGCTGATGGAGTATGATGAAATTATCATACAGTAGGTCTAATCTTTCTCATTCAAAACAATTATGAATAGCATGCCTCCAAAAATTTGTCAAATCCATAGCTTCCTTGCGGTCCCCTCGTCCTCAGGTTAAATACAAACTTCACTCGCATAGCTCATCTCCGTCAGGCAGAACATGGCGCCATTCCTGCATGACCTTTATGATATGTAAAACATGTATTATAATAATAGTAATAATGATTTTTATAGCTCTTTTTATATTAATATTATGTACTCTCTTTATTTACTAGCGCTTCCACAACCCCAACGAACCCAAACTAAACCCAAAGGTAAGTTTACAGATCTTTATACTAAAAATATGGGAAGACCCCAACCACCACCCTCCAATGGCGGAGAATTAGTGTATTAAAAGTGCGTTAAAATTCTCAAAATGACAAATTTTTCTCAATTTTGCACCCCGACAATAAAGTTCTCATTCTTTTTAGATTTTGTAGATGACGCCATAATTGCGACAGTTTCTGAGGAAATTGACCCGGGTTGGAGAAGGTTTGGTGTTCGTCTGGGACTTCAGTGGTCTGACGTTACCAAGTACAATGCTGATGGACGACAGACTCACCAGGCTGTTGATAAAATGATAAAGTTTTGGAGGAGCAACGTTAGTAATGAAAAACATCAACTTAAAGCAGTATGTACGGCTCTGACACAACATAATCGCAGGAATCTAGCTAAAAAGGTTTCTAAGGGCGATGTCAGTGACGGAACTCCGGTCAATACCAAACAATCTGGTATGGCATTACAAAAAAAGAGTTTCTACCTAGCTACATTGTCGTGTAACTTTCTTCTATAGTCAAAATTTTAAGCTCTATCCACACTACCAAATGTTCTTTGAAAAAAACAAAAAAACTAGTGTATGCCCATATAGTCATAATGTGCCTATGGTCATGATGTAATATGAATATTTTTAGCATGTCACATAGGTCTATTTTTGTCAAATAAAAATTGGTCTGGACAGAGCATTACACAAGGGTAAATCACATCTTTACCAACTACAATTGTTCTTTCCAAATATTATAGTTTCTGGTTTTTGTTAATTTTTTAGAGATTTTCGACGATCATGATTTGCTGTTCATCTGTGACAGTTTGGATCCCGAATCATGGAGGAGACTAGGAGTGCGTCTTGGACTCAAGTGGACCGATATTAATGGCATAGCAACAAACAACAAACTGGTGAAAGACCGCATCATGGAAATGCTAGTAACCTGGAGAGATGGTCAGTCAATAAACCATATACCAACGATGATCCACGCTTTAAGACAGCAGAAACTTGTTCAGCTTGCGGAACTTGTGTGTAAAAGACATGGCTATGGGTTACATAGCCCACTGGTGCCAGGTAGGAGAAAATCAAGTTCCTAAATTGTTTAGATTCCTTGTCTTACGCAAGTTTACCTAACATATTTATTGAAATGTTTTTTAAGTGATATCATTTAACAGAATTGTATTATTTTTTATTTCTTTCCCTTAAAAAACGCGATAGAAAAAAAAACCAAATCCAAGGCCGCAGAACCAAAGAAAAGTCAATAATGATGATAATGATGACGACGACGTCAGGACGATGACGAAGTTTATGATGATGATAATGGTGTTAAGGAGGAAGAGGTGGATGATGATGTGATGATTACGTTTTATATGTTATTTTTTAGAAAATAGGCATTTACATTTTGTTTAACTTTGTGACATAGGGTGATGGTGATGATGATGGTGGTGGTGATGATGATGATGATGACGACGACGACGACGACAACGACGAAGACAACAATGATATAACGATTTTGATGATAATGATTCCCCCAATGAAAGAATGTGTGTAAAGTACTATCACAATAATAGTAGGCCTACCATTAATCCTATTGATGATGGCGACGGTGATCACGACGATTTTCTGATTACATTAACAATGATAATAATCATGATCATAATACATTTTGGAGATTATTGCATCTTTTATTCTGTTCAGGTTTCCTAGCTGATTTTGACATGGTGTTTATTGCTGAAAAACTGGACGCTAATTGGCAATCCTTAGGCATCTCTCTTGGTATGAATCAATGTGAAATAAAGCAAATTAAGTCGGACTTTTCGCCACCTATGGTAGACGCCATCATTGAAATGTTGATAAAGTGGCGAGCAAGCCAGAACGCTAAAGTAAATCAGCTTGAAATGATCAGTATTGCATTGGACAAGCATGGAAGGAAAGATATAGTTGAAGCACTCCATACTTCCTACCACAATGAAGATGATTTACATAGTAAATATTTACCAACATGGGTAGAACAAATGGAGGTGTATGTTTAAACAAACATATCACCCACAATGCAAAATAACTTAAAGCGAAGTGTACAAGTTCTTTTATTTGGAAAATATTTAGTAAGAAAATAGGCTATTTCATAATAATATTGTAATACTTATTAGCAGGACGGTATAGGCCTATTTACATCCGTGGCTGAAGTAGAGGTTTCTGGACTGAATTTCTTGTTTATTCAATTTTTATGACGTATTTCAACGTGCACCTGGGCTATGCTGCACACAGAATAAGCATGGCTTAAAATGTCTTTTCTGAAAAGACGGTGCATTTTTTATATTTGCATTAGCCGTCCTGAACCAGGTTTAAAAGGGTTTAACAACGGACCTCCACGGTTCAGCACACGTGTCTACCACAAGTTTAGCCGACAACAGATCTGCTCTGCCAAAACATTAAAGAGAGGAATGTGAACATTCATTATTGATATGAATAAAGAGGTTTGTGGTAGTGATCAGCCATAACATATATTAAGAAAAAAAGAAACTCTATAATATACATTCTACAAGAAGCCAGACGTCTTTGCTACAAAAGTACAGAAGTTTTTTAACAATGCCTGTCTCTTATACACATCTAGATGTGTATAAGAGACAGGTATAGGCCTATTTACATCCGTGGCTGAAGTAGAAGTTTCTGGACTGAATTTCTTGTTTATTCAATTTTTATGACGTATTTCAACGTGCACCTGGGCTATGCTGCACACAGAATAAGCATGGCTTAAAATGTCTTTTCTGAAAAGACGGTGCATTTTTTATATTTGCATTAGCCGTTCTGAACCAGGTTTAAAAGGGTTTAACAACGGACCTCCACGGTTCAGCACACGTGTCTACCACTAGTTTAGCCGACAACAGATCTGCTCTGCCAAAACATTAAAGAGAGGAATGTGAACATTCATTATTGATATGAATAAAGAGGTTTGTGGTAGTGATCAGCCATAACATATATTAAGAAAAAAAGAAACTCTATAATATACATTCTACAAGAAGCCAGACGTCTTTGCTACAAAAGTACAGAAGTTTTTTAACAATGCTATTTGTTCTCCAATTAGGCCTATGGTACCTTTGTAGTCTGGTTCGGAGATGTAATACTGTACTATAGTTTGTATCAATATACACGAGATGTAGTTATCACCGAATGTTATTGTTCGATGTTTAGTATACAAGTTTTTTACAGAAAAAAAAAAACATCCAACTTAGTAGATTACATATACAGTACTGCTTACAGTACTGCACATATTAAATACATGAACACATTGGGAGCTCCTACAGTTGATGTTTTATTTTCTATTTGTTGCAATACTTCAGAAGAATAAATAAGAAGTATTTATGTAAAACGTTATATTTCTTAATACAGTATGTTACTCGTCATGTCGAGAACCTATTCCATACAAAACACTTGTATGGAATAGCAGCAACGGCCCCTACCTTCATATTTTGAATGTCTCCCCCCCTCCCCTCACTGGTGGCACACAGTGGGCCTAGGCCCACGATCGAAGAATTGTATTGGATAGGCCAAGCCGTCATGTACGTAGTCAACAATTTGCCAAAAAAATTGTTTGATTATTAATTTTGACGAAACAACAGGCCGACTTTGGGCGAGTATTACTGATTCAGACGAGCCCGTTAGTGAACTATATCGTTAATGGCCTTGCTTGGCGCGTAACCTTGCATATGGAATGGCAGTTGTAGTCGAATATTGATTATAGCACCGATTCCTGGCCAGGGGTGTGGGGTGTTTTTATTTATAGAACCTATTGATTTTTAGAACCTATTCCATACAAAACACTTGTATGAATAGCAGCAATGGCCTCTACCTTCATACCTTGAATGCCCCCACCTACCCACCACCCTCACTGACGGAACACAGTGGGCCTAGGCCCATGATCGAAGAATTGTATTGGATAGGCCAACCCGTCATGTAGTCCCCAACAATTTGCCAAAATTTTTTTGAATATTAATTTTGACGAAACAACAGGCCGACTTTGGGCGAGTATAATTACTGACTCAGACAGGCCCGAGTTAGTGAACTCTATGTTAATGGTCTTCTTGCTTAGTGCGTAACCTTGCATGGAATGGACAGCTGTAGTCGAGTAGTGATTACTATAGCACAGATTCCTGGCCGTTTTTTTTTTCTCAGCTAAAGCTATAAAAAATGTAAGCATTGAATACCATCATGTTGTTTTGTACTGAGAAAAAAATGTTAGTTTTAAATTAAAAATCGATAAGAAATAGCTCTATAAAAAGTTTAAGAAATCGGTAATCACAGAGGGCAGCAATAATGTTTAATAAAATTGTCAGCGTAAAGGCCTGTTTATACTTGCAGCGATAACGATAACATGCTAAAAAGCAATTGTTCCTGAGAAATAAAAGAAGCAGACCAGCGATTCGATAACGATTTATCCTGTATACGATAAGGAAGACATATTTTCACAAATCATATCAAACGACGTCATAATTATAGGAAAACGATAAAATCTTTTTTATACTTCGATTTCATCGCTTTCCCATGATTGTGACGTCATTTGATTTGATTTGAGAAAATACTAGATAGTATAAACAGGTTTTTAGCGTTTCCATACGTTTTTAAAAGTTGATTGAAAATGCTTGTGAGTCATTAAGTTATGTTTAAAATATATGAATATACAATTAATTATTCACAAATCAAATCAAACGACGTCATAATCATGGGAAAACGATAAAATCTTTTTTCTACTTCGATTTCATCGCTTTCCCATGATTATGACGTCATTTGATTTGATTTGTGAAAATACTAGGTAGTATAAACAGGCTTTTAGCGTTTCCATACGTTTTTAAAAGTTGATTGAAAATGCTTGTGATTGTCATTAAGTTATGTTTAAAATATATGAATATACAATTAATTATATTTTTCTTTTAGTGTAGTATCAAATCGTGATATCGGTAAATTTCAGTCTGCCGCCCTCTATACTTTGAGGCGTCTGATTTGAGTTTTGTTTTGGTTCCTGTGTATAACAAGATAGACCACCTACTTAGGCTAGACCTAGGCCTAGTTGTTTTTATGGTTTGGAAGTTCAGCCGTTTTCTTGTGTGATACAGCAGGGCGAATTATTTAAAACTGTCAACAAATGTACGTGTAGCCTAGGCCTAAATTTGTGAGAGGATGAGCGTTGCTTATATAATTTGAGTCTAGCTAGCTAGGCCTACTAGGGCCAGGCTAGGCGCGTCTAGCTAGCCGAAGACCCTGCCTACTACCCCTACCAAGCGACCTAGTAGTAGGCCAAGGCCCGCACTCAAGCATAAGCCCCTAATAATAAGGAAGTCTGGACCATTTTATAAACATAGACCCTGGCCAACTAGGCCTAGGTTAGCCTAGGCCTATTAGGAGTCTAGTTTTTAGCCTACTTCTACTAGCCACGTACTATGCAATTGCAACATGCTGGCTCTGGATGATCTTGATTGACCCCAGGTGCGACGGTCTGCTGAACTGTGTGATGGAGAGTTCTACAAAAGAACCAACTTCAAATGGAAGTCGAACCAACTCTGTCCTTGTGTCTTCAATTTTAAGTAATGTTATTCATGTCACTTGTCATAGCCACGAAAAAAGCTGTTCATTAAAGGCGCAGCTGTATCGTTTCGACCAATTGCAAACAAAATTTATCTCAATCAGGCAGACTCCATCAACTACTTTTCAAGTAAGTCATCTAAAATATGTAGTCCATGGTTTAGTTGAAGATGATGTCACAGGCTTGGTGAATTTATATGTTGTTGTAGAGGCAGAATTCCTAACAGCAACAGAAGTACGATGGATTTACTATGTACTGCAGGTTACTGAGCATTCAATTATGACCATCTCAAAGTTCGATCTTTTATATCAGTTATCAAAAATGAAGATACATCTTGCCAATGGTCCCAAAGTAGTTTGGTGTTGCAAAGACAATTTAACTATCTATGACATCGCAAAGCAGTCACAGAAGTCATGTACCAGACATTCCTCTGGTTGGATTGATGGTGGAACACTTCTCTGGTCTGGAGTCATTGGCAGAGATCTTGTAGCAATTGGTACAGTGAAAGAGTTACAAGAGAGCAGTGATGGCATGTTAAGCACTCCTGACATCCTGATGTCATTCCAAAGCAGACATCATTTTGTTGGCATTGATTTAAGCAACTTTCAAAGGAATTATCCAATTTCCAAACTTCTTCCTGATGTGTACGCAGAGATAGTTATTGCTATGAGTGTAAATAGCAATGATTCTAGTAACGTCATCATTTGCACTAGAGAATCACAGTTGATATCTTTGAAAGGTGGACAGATTCAGAGTGTCTGCCAGCTACCATTCAAGGATGCAGTGGAAGTGGATGTTGCCATCACAGCAGGTGGAAAAGAGTTGATCATTGTGCATTCTGCTTCTTCAGATGTTTGCTGTGTGTGGTCTAAATCCTTTGAGGTAATTTAACTACAAGGGTAATATTAAGAATTAATAATATATATTTGGCAAAGTACAATCTTGCCAGTAGCAAGGAATAGGCATGACCCTAAAGAGTAACCTGCTCTTAGTTACTCTATCAAAAACAACACAAATGCAAAAAACAAAAGCAACATTAAAAATTATAACTGATCAAACATAATTATTATATAAATTGAACTAAATTTATAAATCCTGATTTTAAGTTAACACAATTTGAATTGTAATAGGAATAATGATAATAAAATATAATTTAAATAAATTGTTTATTATATTTTTTCCTCAAAAAATTCTTAATATTAGATAGTGATATTAAGATTTTAATTAAAGCCCCATTCCCGGCAAAATTTCACTAAAAAAGAATTATTTTTAGAAAAAATGCATATGCATTACTCCATTTATTGTAAGCAATGGAAAAATATTGGCATAAATTTTAGTTTTACACAAAAGAATAAAAAGATGAGAAACACAGACTACAGTATTTCTCATAGATTACTATTTTTTTTCTCGACAAATTCAGAGGTTGTAGATCGCATCCGCTGGAATGCTCTCACTTTTATGTATACTTTATACAGTCAATAAAGTGCACCCTCTGTAATGAAATTGGTTTTTATACTTCGCATCTCGCACACTGCGCAATCGATCGAGTAGGCCTGTGATATGTTTGTTTAATTGTCAAGATCTTGATCAGAATCAATTTTATATCAGATTTGAAATAATTCCTATGAAATATTATATTTCACAAGTGTCAATACTAGCAACGGAAAATAACATGTCGGCTGTTTTTATGTGTGATAACAGAACATAAATCGAGTTACGGCTAGGCCTAGCCTAGCAGCGTTGGATAGGCTAATGTTTTCGGCGCCTACTATATTTCTTCGCAGATCTATCGCAAAATCAAACATGAAAAAAAAAATCAAATTTCAGTCTTTTTTTACATTTTGTTCATGTTTAGGAACGCCTAAATTCAGTTAAATTATCAATTTCGTATTACATTTATAAATCTTTATAACATATATAAAAATCATTTTTCTTTCTTAACAAAAATCTTGCGGGGAATAGGGCTTTAAATCTTGATATCGAATATTGTCTCACCAAATATAATGGCATGCAGGATTGGTAGATGCAGAAACCTAAGGGTGAGTGATAGACATTTTAAGGGTGGGTGAGTTACAACATTGGTAAACTCTAAATAATAAAAATGGATTTTAAGGATGGAAAACTATGTTAATAAGGGTGGGTTGAGGGCCATTAAATTAGCTTTAAGCTGGGTGGCTCCACCAACCATAACTACCTGTACATCCCTGTGTATAATATTGTCTTTTAAAAATGATAAAATAAAGAGAATTACCTTCCCTTTTGAAAGGATCGTACTGTAATAAATATTTATTTACGGATTGATATTTTGTTGACTTTTTTTTCTTAGGTTGCAGAAACATGGCAGGGGGTACACATGGTTCTTGTTGATGATTTTTTCCAGTGTGGCAACGATCAAATCTTAATGCTGGTATCAGATCCTACCCAAATTGCCAATATTTTTGCTGGCTTTATACTAACGGATTTACAGAGTCGCAATATCAAAGATGTAAGTCACAGGCATTGTCAAGTCAGATGATAATTTTCATATTCTAAAAAATAACTAAGATACAGTTGAATCCAAATTGGCAACTGAAAAAAACTTCAGAGGGTTATTTATGTGAAAACACAACAATTTGGCATGTAAAATAAGATGGACTTAGAAATTATTTGAGTTAGGCAAGTATATGTATTTTCAGGGGGTGTGCAGTACATCATTTTGCGACACATGTAATCTACATTTTGCAACTCACAGTCAATAATACAGTAGTGCAAATGATTTGTAGTATTTATGAAAGTATTATTAATGTTGTTGTTATTGATTTATCATTATTTTATTACAAGTATTATTCAGTGTGTATATAGGAGTCTGATGGGGTTCTCGATCAATAAGTGAGGGGGTGCTACATTGTCATTAGCTCGCAAAATAAGGTGATTTATAACTACTTGAGCGTAATTTTTTGGGGAATGACTGTGGGAGCCATTATTTCTTTTGAGTGGAGGAGCCGTTCACATCATGACCATATATAGGCACATCATGACTATATATGGACATGCCACTGTTATTATTGTACAGTAAATTTTTATTATTAAAGTAATACTATAATGTAATAATAATAAATAATTGCAATTTTGTATCATATTAATTTGTCTTTAGGGTGTAAAAGCCAATATGGAAGTGAACGTTGGTTCACAAAGCAACTTAAAGTCGGCAGTAAGAGCTTTGCAAACAAGGATGCAGGTAAACCTGTCATAAAGTAACATTATATAATTCTATATTTAATGATTTAATAAATTGTGCCAACATCGCCTAATTACCATTCATAATTTATGAATTAAGCAAGATTATTCCCAAATGAGTGTATTATCATTCATTATCGAATATCAATATTTATTATTTAAAAAATTATCATACTTTATCCCAGTGGAATAGGTTGTATCATTCAATTATCAAATATCAATATTTATTATTGTTTTAAAAATTATCATACTTTATCCCAGTGGAATGGGTCATATCAACTTTGTCTCTTATTAGCCCAATTGGTAGAGCAGTCAAAATTATATGGTTCGAATCCTAATTTGGTCATTACATATATTTAACACATTTTCTATTTATAGATAAGTGTTGCTGCTGTGAAAGAAAGCAGACTTAAACTTGCAGATAAAGTCAGAATGATCCATCAGTCCCACAAAGCATTGGTCAACATGGTGAATGGAAACGCTGAGGATGCAGCGAGTCCAGCTCAAACGGTAATTGGCAGGCTATTAATCAACATTTGAGATAACAATAAAATTATAATCAGAAAATAATTTCTTCACAAATTAACATTAATACTGTTTCATAATATGTATCTTTTGCATATGCACATTTCAGTGATAAATTTGCAAAAATATTTCCATCTTTGTCTCGATTGAAGCTTATAACCTATTTGTTAATTTTAAATGTGTAATTCTTGAATTTAATTACAATATTTTACAATAATTAATTTAAACATACTGAAGTGATTAATCATAAAGCTCTGTCCACACTATAAAAAAAACTGTTGCATGCCCATATATAGTCATGATGTGATGTCATCATGACCATATTCAGGCATGTCGCATATTTTTGTCATATCAAATTTGATAGTGTGGACTGGAGTAATGGATAATTTTAAGCATTTATAGACCAAATTTGATTACCTGGAGACTTCACTGTGTCTGGTCCTATCCATGCTGCCATGCGAGTCTTTGCCACCATCACTCATGGACTCACAAGCATCGTACAGTGCAGCACCCTCTCCAGGTAGCTTTGCTGGCCACATTCAATTACCACTGCATTTCACATCAAACAAAATTATAGTCTTGACATGACCATATTTAAGCATGTATTTTGTCAACAACAACTAAAGATTGTGTTTCCAATTTACATTAATAATAAATAAAACATTCATTTTATACAGGCTTCATTAATTATATACTGTAGTCATGATATCATCCTTATATTATAGGCATATCACATGCTTTTGTTTAATTAAATTTGATAGTCTGGCTAGGGCTTTAGATTCTGTTTTGGTACAACAATTATTCAGTATTGTAACAATTTAACGGATACAATAATAAATAAAACATATTCCTTTTTTTCAGGCTTCATTAATTTGTCTATTTGATGGATCACCAGAAGAAGGCAGTTCCATAACAGAAACAAACCAGGTTCAGATAAGCAAAGATAATGGACAACACCCATCAGTTTCATCACCATGGCAATGCCTAGTTGGTGATGAGTGGATTGTGGGATTGAAAGTCCACAATGCAACAAGCAAGTATGTCTGTCAAAATTCACATCACTCTATTTAATAGTCCAGACTATTAAATTTTATCCGACAAAAATGTGACATGCCTTAATATGGTCATGATGACATCACAAAAGCCCCGCCCCTTAGATATTGTTGCTAAGGTACCACAAAACGACAGCCGTAAAATATACGCAAACACGTGTGCTTGTGAGATGCACACGTATTGTCGTATTCCAGTTTTGATTGGCAAGTTGTTAGTTTGATTGACGCCGGAAAGGTCCATTATCAGAGACTAAAGCTCAGTCCAGACTTTTTCTTTGACAAAAAAACTATTGTATGTCCATATAGTCATGATTTACCTATATATTTAGGCACGTCTCATGTTGTTGTCCCATACAATTTGGACAAAGCTTAATGATCCCTTTTATTCTTTATTTTGCAGAACTTTCCATCGATTAGCTTTATTAGTCATCGCAAGAGATGATCAACTGTATCCCATTACACTGCAATGTAGAAGCAGCCTAACATCATTAGCCAATAATGTCAAAGGTCAGGACGAGCCCCTCCTAAAGAGGATGAAGTACAAACAAGAAATTCCCAAACCGCAGATGGATGAATTGCTCCCAAATGACACTGCATTTGTTTGCGCTGTGACAAAGTTACCAGCGTTTAGTCAGCCAAATTTGGTGTGCAATCTAGCATTGCACTGGAAAGACAATCTGGTGGATAAGTCCGAGCCAGTCAAAAGCATCTGTGTGGGCAACGCTACACTTATGGCAAGTGACGTGGCAGGAGGAGACCTGCAGGTCTCTTACCAAGAATCTCGGGGTATGTTGTAAACCTGTCGAGATTATTGAATTTCTTTGACAAATTAATAATAATAGTGTAGTTTTATATACCGCCGGTATCCATCAAACAAGATGCTCATGGCGCTTGATATGTAGACTAGAAACTCGATCCATGACTTTCTCCGCCCCTAAGGGTCCCTTAGTGTCTGTGCTACCCGGTAACCCGGTACCAGCAACTCTTGTCATCCACCACCGGGGTATTCCCTACCCTCGAATGATGTTCTGGGTTCTTTATATTGCACACGAGCCATGGTACACAATAGGTCTATGGTTTATAGTCCTTATCTGAGAAGACTTGTTCTACCACCAGAACCATAGGCGAGCGTGCCGTTTGAAACAGCGCTGTTATTATGGCTGTAGGTTGCGGCGGCGCTGCTAACTGCTCGGCCATTCGATACAACAGTAAAATTTGTATGTTTGTCTTCATGACATTTTTTAATATTGCATTTTCCATCTCATTTTCCCATATTACAGGTTCATTGACCAATCAGGATGAAATGACCCTCAATGCAGTGCAGCTAGAGACAATGCTGGACATTACTAGTCACCATAGCCACATCAATCAAATAGGCTCTGTGATCCAGAATTCATTAAAGTTTCTCAAAATGAAAAACACTAATGGATTCATTTGTACAGCTGGTGCATTTAGTCTATGCAGAGTTTATATTACTAATCTCAATGCGAAAATGCTGAAGATACAAGTCTTCACAAGGTAATATACCTTCGGACAAAACATTTTTTTATCGCGTGTACCAGCGTACTGTTGCTATATGTTAACTAAGCAATTAGCATTGTGGCAGAATTGCGTGCTTCAGCACAGAGAAGCCATAATACTTTTACTTTTTGGCAATATTAAGTCGATTCCAGTAAATAACCTATCATTTGTGGTCTTTGTCGATGTTTTTAAAAAAAATTCAGTGTATTCTATTTTGTAGATAAGCTTTTATCATTTTTGAAATTAAGTATCTTCTCGATTGTATTAATTTAAAACGGGACCATTTTGAAAAAAGACTGTTACATCTTGTATAAATATGTTTTAAATAAAAAACAAAATAAATAAATAAATAAATTTTAAAGTTTCTTGGTTACTGATGGTGGCTTTGGGATGGCGTCTTCATAATATTTAAAAAAAATCAAATACGAAATAACAGTCTGCCTTTGTCTATTTCTGAAACAAGACAAACGCAAAACAGTGGCGGTGCTAGCTGTCTTATGCTTTCCTTTAGACAGATCAAGCCACCCCACGACTGAGTGACAAGCAGTCGAAGGCAACATGAATGTCCCGGCGACATTGTGGGGAAAAAATTTTTTTTAAATAAAAATAAAATGTTCGGCTATATAATGTACAGAAAAATTTCATGGTCGGAGAAATTAAAATTAAATGTGTTAAAAAAGCTCATTAACCAGATCAGTGGCAGATTCAAGGGAGGGGTAATCCGGACTGCCCCCCCCCCCCAATATATCAAATCATGCATAAGAGCCTTCAGACCTTCCATCTATGGGATTTCCTCCTTGCTATCCCCGACCAACCTAGCAGACGTAAAGAGGCGCTTATAGCCTGGGCTGAGATGAACTATAACATTGGGGTAACCACCTACTCTTCCGAAAGATGCAATGAGTCCTTTAAAGTGCACACGAGCCAGATGTATACACTGTACCTCCATTTTAAATTCTTATCCGAGAAGACTTGGTTCTACCAACTGAACCATTTAAGCACATATATAAGCATACAGTATGTTATATGGATGCTATATGCATACAGTACAACAGTTGACCATTTTTTTATATTGTTATTTACAGTGATGTGAAGACACTACTTCTGTTTGTTCATTCTCTCTACAACGTGCTCCCTGATGACGTCATCATCACGCCAACGACATCGCCAGGATGTTTAAATTCAGCAAGTACAAATGCACTTAATAAACTGGAAGACGAATTGACCAAAAAACTTCAACTATTCTCTGGTTTAATTAATTCTCAAGAAGGAATTAACATTAATAAAGAGTCAGTTAGGAAAGGGGAAATGGTTCAAGGTTTAATAGAACCAAAAACTAAATCAGTAGATGACTGGAGGAAAGAATTTTCGAAAAAACAAACATTATCTAAGAATAAATCATCACCAGTCATGATAGAGGGCCAGGTTGCTATGGAGACAGAAACTGAAAACCTCTCATGGAAATTAGCTACAGATGTCGCTTTTATGAAACTGACAAGAATTTCTGGGTGTAAAGACGCATTGTAAATACAGTAACTATTAACCAAAAATAATTTTGTGATGATGACCATTTATTCAGATCTCAAAAATATATGAATTTATGAAATTGTTTGCTCAGCTAACACATGATCACCATTAATGATGCTGTTGGGAAAAATAAATAGTAATAATATTAAAGAATACAAAAAATGTCTTTTTGGAATGTCTTATTGACTGGCAAGATTATTTTTACACTTTCATTTATCTGCAGAAAATCGTCAAACAAGATATTTGATACTATGATGTACATCTTTTTACTGACCTTTTAGACAAACCATTGTTCCCCACTTTGTGCAATAAAAGGCTTGAAAATATAAAATCAATGCACTAAGGAAAGACGTGAAGGGAAAATATGACAAAACTGTCAGTCAGCATAAAACTTCATTTTAAGCACAAGCATGTAATATTAATACAACATCCCTCAGCACACACCAGCTAGAATAATTTAGTTGTATATGAGAAATGTATTTCGTCACCACTCCATCCTCCTTTGCAAACCAGGTGAAATATACCTATGCACATGGTAAGAACATGAAGTTATATAATTCACTCTGACATTGCAATCCCTCGTGGAGTGATGGAGGGTTGTCTTGTGACTCATCGATCTGCCTCGGAGGTCTCTAAGCACCACGAGCAAGCATTCTGGAACATCTTCAACCACGGAGACACCTTGAGCGTCTCCCTCCACTCCAGCGGCATCCAAGGCCATTGCCACGTCAATGTTGTACGCTCCGGATGCGGCATGATGGCCAGGTGGCGGCCATCTTGAGAGCAGACAGCTGCTATGCCGTTGGGTGATCCGTTGGGATTCAGAGGGTATTCGGTGGTTACTTGTCCCTTGTCATCAACATAGCGTGCTGGGGCAAGATTCTTAGATAGCACGGCATCTTTGGTTTCGTTGTTAGCAAACTTCATATGACCTGGAGATGATAATGTAGAGAAATGTAGTCAGTACAGTCCTGCATTACAAATGTGGTTGACCTGCACTAGATCGATCAAACAATGGTCATTTTATCCAGAAAAAATCTATAAAAAATTATAGGATTTCAATTGCACTGTGATAATGCACGGTAATACAGTACAATACAAAGTGGAATGAATTGAGGTGGCAATGGCAATGCAATAGTGGGCATACCCTCTGGTCTTCCCCACCCACTTCACCAATTATTTTAATTCTGCCCCGGTAAAAATTATAATATAAAAATATAATAGCAATATACAATTCTCTGCAGATATTATTCTCCTGAAGACGATCAAAGCAACTCATTCAAAACGTCAAGACATTCTCAAACAACCGTTTTTTTTCAGATCCATCTATGTGGTGTACCGCCAGCATTAATATAATTTAAAATTAAATATAAAATAAATTTACATTCAGTTGACGATTTTTGGTTTAAGTTTATATAAATTCATTTATAATTCAGGTTTTTTTTTTGCACATATATTTTTTGTAAACATCTAAATTATAAATTCGTTGGGAGTTACTATGTGACTCCAACACAGGTACTGTGAATCTACCAAAAGCTACTGAAAGGAAATAAAGCCATTGACTCTGAAAGGTAACTTTTTTTCTATATTCTCACTGATAGTAGAAGTTGTTTCATTGCCTGCAATCTGTAGGCTTACCTTCCCCATGTTGTACCCACACACCTAGCATAGACCCTTCCATTCCTTTTAGCATCATAGCAGGACTTGGCTTGATCTCCACGGTAACAAAACGGGACTCAAAACGTTCAGATATGTTGTGAGCAAGGTGAAGTCCTTGACGTGCAGATGCTGCATCTAAACATAAGAAGATTGAATGACGATTGGCATAACATTGATAATGAAGGATAACAATGGATATCGATAACAGCAGGGTACAACAATAAGTCTAACAAAAAGGAAAAAGACAATGACACCGACATCATATACTGTATTTCATTATCATAGTTTTCCTAAATGTTGCCTCATCTGTCCTTATATTTTATCAAATCACTATTGTTATAAAGGTAAAAACCGAAAGGTCCACTGATTAATCTCAGATAAGAAAGTATAATACATACTCCAAGTATTGAAATACACGCCATCATGTTGGGATTCAATATTTCGACATTAATTATGTCATCATCAGGAATGAAAAAATGATGACATAATTAATGTCTAAATATTGAATCCCAACACGATGGCGTGTATTTCAATACTTGGAGTATGTATTATACTTTCTTATAAAGGTAAAGATAGGAGAATAACCCATAACTTGCAGCGTTATTGTGCTGAATTGCATATGGACGTGGTCCGTGACTACCTAGCAGCCGTAAATAGGTGCTTCATGGTAGATACATGTTTACATCATTCTACAACAACAGGCTGAAATGAACCACAAAATCGGGGTAACCCCCTACTCTTCCGAAAGATGCAATTGGTTCTTTAATGTGCACGCAAGCCTGATGTATACACTGGACCTCCATTTTAAGTCCTTATCCGAGAAGACTTGCTTCTACCAACCGTGAATCATGGGCGAAGGGCGGCTGGAGCCAGGGCCGATATTGGTTTATTGCAAAGTTATTAAAGATATTTACAGATTCGTTGTTTTACCTCGGAAACATGTCAGACATGGTATTGTTGCGAGTGCAACATATTTTTGGGATTAATCACATTTGGGGCAATCATATGCAGTAATTAACTTGTGCATACAGCATCATTAAGATTATTGATACTCATAACATCAACTAGTTGATTTTACCTTAACCAAAACTCCATTCAGCTCAAAACAGTTTTTGAATACCATTCAGAGGCAAAACAACGTATCTTCATAGTAGATACGTTGTTTTACCTCATACTCTTGCAGTTACATTATTTTACCACGGAAAATCACTAGATTTTAAGTTTTGTGCTTAAAGATAGGTGTGGTGCTTTCTCTGAAATTACTTATTTTTGAGATCTGAAATTTTCATAGGTAATTCAGAAGTGTTTAATCAAAATCAACAAAAATGTCAGTCTCATTGTTTGCCTTGGGATGGCCTTACAGGTCAATTGCTTTCTTGGACTCTCTGACACCAAGATAATTAGCATATTTTATACTGAGAGGATATTATAGGCAAAATTGGTATAAATAGGTAGTTTTCGCCGCACAATGTTAACCTTAACTTTAACATTAGTATTTAACATGCAACGCGATAACTCCGCCCCTTTTGTAAACAAATCGAAATACACATGCGCAAACCCGTAACCAACGTCCGTCGAGCACGTAAAATCCTGAAAATAACGTACTCCGCAATGCAAAATGAATAAATTATGACGTCATCCGTTAACGTTAAGGTTAACGTCGTGCAGCAAAAAACTCCCTAATATTGGTTTGCATACCTGTATTAGCATCATTCTTAGCCTCCTTTGTGACCTCTGGAGCCACCCATCCAATCAGACCCATTAGTTGACACCCATTGCAGACTCCCAATGAGAATGTGTCCTCCCTAGCTCTGAAAGTATCAAACTGAGCGCGCACAGTTGGGTTGAACAAAATGGTTGCTGCCCACCCTAAACGAAAAAAAAATGAAAAAGAAAAATTATATGAAACCATCTGCAGGATACGTAATACATAATAATAGACAATTCTTCTTGCATATGACATGCAGCATCAAACTAAAAATAACTTCTTAGTCTTATCTAATAAATTTTTTAAATTTTTTGTTTTCATTTATTTATTTACTTTTTTTAATCATTTCTATTTTTTTGTTTTTTTGATAACTAAACCTATATTATAATTACAGTTCACCAGTATGGATGGCATTCTAACACTTCAGGACATAGCATTTCATTTCTATTCTATAGAGAAAAAAATTATTAATTTGGAAGCCACAGAGAAGTGGTCTGTAATTGGAAGGTCCTGAACTAGAGAGACATGTATAATATAATGTTATCTTATCTAATGCATAATAAATAAAATTCTTGCCTTTCGCTGATCCGCATACATCAGCAAAACTAAACCCGCCAACAAACACGACTCCACGGAACAGGTCAAGAGTGATTTGGCCGCTAGCTAGATCCTGCATGTTGACATCCCACGTTTCGAATCCCGCCATGTGTAGTGAAGACGCCATCTCACGATCTCCGTTACTACCCTCCTCACGGATCACAGCTACCTTAGGCTTCCGCCCATCTAAAGCGAACAACGAAAACAACATTTACTGTATAACTGTACTTGGTGTATTGATTACATAGTAACTGGAGTGCTTCAGGCTTCAGTCTTAAAAGTCACATGAAAATTCATTTGTGAACCATATACACTGTTGTCATGATGTGCCTATATCTGCTCATGATGTGATGTCATCATGACCATATTTAGGCATGTCACATGTTTTTGTCTGATACAATTTGATAGTCTGGACAGGGTCAAATGTTATCAACGTTAATGAGTGAAATAACGTAATACGCAGTTATGTATCAATTTTTACTGAACTATTATCACTACATTATTATTATTATTAGTTTGTTCCTTACTTGGGGACCCTTTCTGAAACAATACAGTTAACTGCTGCTTCATATGTTTGACAGTTTTATCATTATTACCATTTCAATGGTTCTGAAATTCAAATAATTCTAGGAAGGTCCCAGAAATATGAATAATACCATGTATTAGTGACTCCTTCAATTCAATCAGTTTCATAGCTTTGACCGCAAAGGCCAAAACTTCCTTAAAACTTCTTTAGCATTACCGTATTTACATAAATAAAAAAGATATGTAAATAAATCATAAAGCAATGCTATAACAATTGAAGGCAAACTGATGATGGGTACAATTGGTACAATTCAGTTGCTTAGAATATTCTCAAGAACAAAGCAACTTAAGGAAGGATCGAAAGGAAGGAAATATGCAAGACTCGGAGAGTGTGGAAGAAAGGAGGAAGCATAATCAGGATGACATCTGCCCTCTTGTCCGATTGTATCATTACAGTACCTTCCATGGTTCCATTTTGTACCATCTTCACATCCGTCACACTTGGGTCAAAGGTTAGTTTAAATGGTGGTGTTGTTCTATTGGCCAGATTCTTTTGCTCCTCCTCAACACATTTAGGATTTGCTTGAAGTCTCTCCAACTGAAAGCTAGTCTCCTCCCAGACATCTCTAAGTGAAGTCATCTTCTCCTTCAACACTTCTTTTCCATCTACTGAGACTACAACCTACAATTTATTTATTTTTTTTAAAACCTCATTTCTTCTCATGAAATATATTACTTTAATTCACATTTCCCACAAAAAATTTTTAATAGGGTCATTTTGGGTGGAATAGATCAGTTTTTGGAAATTCTAAAACAATTGCTTTAAGTACTGTAACAGATTGGTTTTGACTGAATAGCTAGAACCAATGCAGCCAAACTTATTGCGGTGAGCTGGGCAGTTAGTCGAGAGAAAATCCTATGTTACATCTCCAAGAGTGCATACATTTCTCATCATGAACAAGAGTGCATGAAGTCTTGCTGTTGTACCGACAATCTACTTACCATTGACACTTGACCTGATCTGCTAGACTGACCAATCACAGAACAAGGCACATTGTTTTTACTAAATTGCTTACAGACCTCATCAGAGATCTCAGGTTTCACTTCCAACACCAGTCCAAGCTCTTCAGCAAACAAAGTATCAATGGCATTCACTGAAAAAAATTTAATACAAATTAAGAATATTTTTCTACATTTCCTAATTCAAGAATCAGAGGTGGATCTGGGTTCAAATTTAGGGGAGGTCATAATGTTTCCAAAAAATCCCAAAAAGGAAAGAGGTCCTCTACCATGAAGATTTTGATTCCTAGATGCCGGTATGTTCCAAAAAAAAAAAAACCCAAAAAGGAAAGGGGTCCTTTCCCATGAACATTTTGATTCCTAGATGCCGGGAAATGAGCTTTCCTGACTTCTGAGCTGTCTTTTCTTCAAAATTCAATGTTTCCCTCTCTTGAAAATGATCAAGTCAATTTTCATATCCTTATTACACTAAATAGGCTTATTATGTGTGTATACATACGGGGAAAAAAATGAGTATTTGGATACGTATTCATTTTTTCCATAAATAGATGAATCCCTCCAAAAAATGGAGGATTGGTGATGGGAGGGGTCCTCCTTGGGAAAATTTTATTCCTAGATGGTGGGAAAAGAGCTATCTGACTTCTAATTTTTTAATGTAACAAGTAGTAGCACCTAGATCTAAATAAAATTATAAGGGTTTGATAAAAATTTTAATGTTTATAAAGTCAAGCTATAATTACAGTGATTTTGATTCTTACCTTCAGTTTCTGAAGAAATATTAACGTCTATCCCACAATTCCCAGCAAATGCCATTTCTAATAGCGTTGTGATTATGCCACCATCACTTACATCATGACCAGCCAATACTTTCCCCTCTATATCAAAACATGTGTAATAATGTTAATCAATGAAGACAAACATAAATTGCCTGTAGAGGGGTGCAGTAGGTTTAAAAACCTTTCTGTCATCATCAGCTGTTGCTATTCTACTGACAATGCAATGTGCGACGCATGTGCAGCAGATTGTTTTTAATATAGATACACTCAGACTGCTCTTACGTGTTCATATTATGTTGTATAATTTATAGGGGAAGAGAGGGGTTGAAACAAGTTAGTAACTCTATAGGTGTAATTTTGCCCTACCTGACGTGGAAATGTACTGAATACTCAGTACGTGTGAAAACAATTGAGAAAAGGAAAAAAAAAAACTATACTTGATTCTCCTGACACAAATCCAGTTATTGTCTATTCCATTTTTTATTTATTTTATTTTATTCTGGTATATGGTAAAATAAAAAAAGCAGAACCAGTCTGAAATTATTGTAGTAAAAAAATTCAAGATTACAAACAAAAAATTTCAAATACATTCAAAAACATCAAATTACAAACACCATTATCATTAATAAATTTTCAAAATAATAAAAATACAATTCATCACGACAATAACAATTACTATCAACATTGCAGTACCCGCTGCTTACTTGGACTCGAATTCAACCCTGGCCATCAGGCACAAGCTTTGTGGTCTAGAGGATGATGCCTGGCTAGTGATCTGGAGATTGTGGGTTCGAGTCCTACCTGAGAACAACCTTTTTTTTTTCACAGTTGTTTTCACACGTACTGATTATTCAGTACATTTAACGTCAGGTAGGGCAAAAATTACACCTATACTTGATTCTCCTGACGCAAATCCAGTTATTGTCTATTTCATCACGGCAATAACAATTACTATCAACATTGCAGTACATCACGACAACAACAATTACTATTAGTACCTCTAGTTATTACGTTGAATAGCTACAAGTACCTCCACAACAATGTGAAGAATGGTAATGTTATTTGATAATATAGGGCCTTTTCCAGAGGATACTACAAAGCGTTGTGGACTAAATGTAAACTTATTTCAATGACTTTCTTCTTCCTTAAGAATCTCTTCATGTCTGAGTTACCCGGTACCAGCTACTCTCATCTGCACACAGCAAGGGATGTATGGACCAGTACACCAGCGTAACCTCCTACTCGTCTCAAAAGATGTACTGGATTCTTTTTAAATGCACGCGAGTCAAAATTGTGTACACTGGATCTACAGTTTATACTCCTTATCCACGAAAATTTGTTCCACCACCAGAACCATAGCAAGCGTGCTGTTTCAACCAGCTCCGATATAATGGCTGTAGGATGATGCACCCCTGCACTAACTGCTCGGCCATCCAACAAATACAGAAGCATGTAGGAGTCTAACAATAACATTACCTGAGATTAGATTTTGCATTGTGTTGAATCCTCTTACAAACGTTTCTGCGTCATCCAGATCAGGCGAAGTGTCTCCAAGCTGATTGTAGCACTGAGCAAGGGCACTACCACCTAAACGACTATGCTTCTGTCCAAACGAAACCCATAACAAGGCTCCTGAAAAGTAAATTTTAAATGTTTTTTTCAAAATTTTCCTATTACAGTGATAATAATCCCTTGTATCATGTCATTTTCCTTAATGTTTCTATTATGTAAACATAAATTTGTTGACTATACTAACCTTTACCATCTGGGCACTTGAGGTCAGGGGTCACTGTTGCTCTGATATCGGGACATGCAACATAAACAGACACAACCAGTGTACCTGACAATAACGGGAACATAGAAATAAAAATGTAAAGTGCATTATAAAACTGACTGTATTATATTTTCTTAAAAGTTCTGTCCACACTATCAAATTTTCTTTTGACAAAAACTGTTGCATGCCCATATATAGTCATGATGTGCCTATATATGGTCATGATGTGATGTCATCATGACCATATTTAGGCATGTCACATGTTTTTGTCATATCAAATTTGATAGTCTGGACTGGGGTAATGGATAATTTGTAAGCATTTATAGACCAAATTTGATTACCTGGAGCTTTCACTGTGTCTGGTCCTATCCGTGCTGCCATGCTTAGCGAGTCTTTGCCACCATCCACGGCAACACCCAACTTGCGCATCACCTCACACATGGACTCACAAGCATCGTACAATGCAGCACCCTCTCCAGGTAGCTTTGCTGGCCACATCCAATTACCACTGCATTTCACATCCTATTAATTTTAAGTATTAAAACATAGGTATATAGGAATCCATGGTATAACTATCACAGGTTAGGGGGATTACTCTTCACCTACAGATAGGATGTGATGCTCTATGAAGTAACTCTCATTATGAGAGTTGGTTTGTGTTTAATTTTTGCAAAATTTGAACACAGGGCGATTGTCACCGATAGAGTAAGCGATTCTATGGAAACTGAGCAGCTTCTATGGAGAGCAGCTAGCTCAGTCGGCTAATATGGTGGAAGCCACTGTGTGTGCGCTAAACCGTAGAGATCTCTAGGTCCCCGGTTCAATTCCCATCGCTGCCTCTCCTTGCATTTCAGCTGAAGGGACAATTATGTCATGCACAAGCAGCTCCAACAACAGTGATGAATGGTTTACCTTTAGATCGGAGATCCTAGCAAACACAAGGTTAGTAAGGGCTTCACCAACTGACATCCTGGCACCACAGTGAGCATCAACTAGCCCTTTGATTGGCTGTTCACCTATAGCTGTTGCCGAGCCGACGGTGTCAAAGTGCGAAAATGCAGTGACGGCTACATCAGCAAGAGGTGTGTGAAGTGGGCCTACACATTGTTGCTGCGCTATAAGACCAGTGACAGCTCGATCCACCTAAAAAATAATTATAATCATAGTTTCATATACCTAGAATAGATTGTTGTCATTTGATATCTTAATATGACAAATAAAGTTTTTTTCTATTTTCTTAGCATTGTCCTTTGTAGTGTTTTATCAAAATGATCTCTGGGATATAAAATTACTTGGTCAAAATATATTTAAATTCATGGATTACCTTATTGGTTAAATATCTCTTACTGGCTACAGACGGGAGTCTGAGTACACGGTCCAGTGCATCTCTGATTGACAGATCTTTAGGCAGAGTCAGCTGACTCAGGTTAGGCTTGCAACGATTGTAGTTGAAAACCTGTAAAGAACAGATTTATATGTTTGTAGTACAAGACAAACTAACTTAAATAAAACCATATAAGTACAAAATCTGTTAGTTAACATAAATTAATCTTTTTCATTTACTTTTTATTCATTTGACTGAAATACACAATATTTAATAAATACATGCAGTCAACAGTTAGAAAATACACTTAGTAACCTGTCTGAACAAAATGCACATACAGTAGTATTTCTTTTAAAATGTATCAAAATTGTAACTTGTACATTTCAGAGGTGGTAAAGTTAGATGATTATGAAATAACACATTCAGAATCTAACCTGATAATTCCTGACCTTAACAACCAAATTATTTGTATTCATTAAATATTTACTTTCAAATTTGTTCTTTAAAACATGCTATACTTATGTAATTAGTAATATAAAAAACATTATAAGTGGTTATAAAATCCAGATTAACCAATTAAAATAACTTAATCTTCAGATTCATCAACCTCATTTAATAATTTCATTGCACCTTTTGTGGCATTTTGCCCAGAACCCAGTCCAACTGAAGATCTACAGGGTAAGTTAGAGCCGTTCTTTTTTTGGCTGGGGGTTCAGCATCACCCTCACCCACTTCCTCAACCTTCTTCTCCACCTCAAGACGAATCTATGTAAAAAAAAAAGTTTATTTATGTACAGTAAATAAAAGATTTTTGTATTAAATATTCAAAATATTTGAAAGAAATATCGGAGTACAATATTATAATTATACTGAAGTTTAAATATTAATCTGTTTTCTGATCGGTGTAATGTACTGTGAATGTCATCAACAGGAATTTGTTAGTTTTTGTTAGGCTTTGAGGTCAGCTGCTAGGTTTACGTAACAGAGCAGTGTGGTAGAAATTTACGCATCGATATTTGCCAACAATAATTTTCTCTTTAATGGTGTAGCTGCCAATTTTTATAGTTTTAGCAGGATGGAGACTTTGTTTCATTCAAATACAATGGATTCCCAAGAGCAGATTGAGATGGTTTTCTTTAAGATATCTTTCTATAGTGACCTTTAAATTCTTACCTTTCCATCTCCTGTAATTTCTCCAACAAAAACAGCAGGGCATTTCTCCCTGTCACAGATGCCCTGAAGCTTGGGACGATCCTCAGATTTAACAATGATGGCATTTGATTCCTGATACTCTGCGCCCCAGAGTTCCAAAGTGTTGATCGTTGGATCCCCAAGTTGAAACTCTTTGGCTCGAATGATGGCTCCGGCAGGTTCTGAAATCTCTTTCAAAACATTGCCTAGACATAAAATAATTGTTTTGTAAATAAAAATTTTGTTTTGTTAGTTCTTGTTAGTTTTCTTAGTTTAAATAAAATAAGTTAAGAGCGATACCGTAAAAGCTCTAATAAGTGCCACTCTCGAATAAGCGCTACGGCGTATATTATATTACACCCTGTGTGTAATGAAACACTTTGAGAAACAAGATTTTAACTACAATTTATACAGTGTTAAAACAAATAAATAACACAACGAAGACACAAGCATTTCTTTATAAGCATTTATTTACGATGACGTAGGACCTGTGATAGGCCTATTGAACTACGGGAATACATGAGATAAGTAACATGGGAATTTGCATGGAAAGCGCCACGCCAATATTTTTAATACGCGCCACTCTTGAATAGGCTCCGCACTGAAGCCTCCAAAAATGTTATAATCACCGCTGCGCTTATTCAAGCATTTACGTTATTCACTAAGTGTACCGTATGGATTAGAAATTGTGCACTATCAAATTTTATTTTACAAAAACATGTTACATCATATCACATGTTACATCACATCACATGTTACATCACAAACATGTTACATCACATCACATATTACATCACTAAACATGTTACACACATCACATGTTACATCACAAAACATGTTGCATCACATCACATGTTACATCACTAAACATGTTACATCACTAAACATGTTACATCACTAAACATGTTACATCACTAAACATGTTACATCACATCATGACCATATTGAGGCACATCATGGTTAAATATGGGCATAAAACATTGATTAAAATTAAATATCGTACCATTACCACCGGCACCCTGGTCATGAATACTGCAAATTGGGTTATCCTCTCCCATTTCAATACAAGCCCTAATAACTCGGTTCAACTTCTGCTCCATCTCCGCATCACCTCGCTGCACCGCCTCGAAGTCCAGCTGTTCCGTGTTGTCACCTTGGATTTGGATGGAAGATGCGGCACCTCCACCAACTCCAATCCGATAGATTGGTCCACCAAGTTTCACTATCTCCATTCCTGCAGATTCACAGTTAGTTACATTTTCTCACTAACAAATTACTATAATTTTAACATTTTTGTAAGCAAAATATTTTTTTTAAAGCACAATATTATTAATATGCACATCCCCACCCAGAAATTTAGTGATCACAAGAAATATACGGACTATCACTATAGTAAGAATCATCTGGAAAAGCAACAAATGTTATGATAAAAGTAAAACATTGAGTTATCGCAGTCGCATGGACTCCAGAACGCAATTTAGCCAAATCTACGTTGTGCAGAGGACGTAGGATGGTCAAGCTTGAATGAATCCATTCTAGCGTCGCATCGTCCCACAAATCGAAAGCTCCCTACTACAACCATCATCACCATTACCATCATCATAAACAATAATTACAATATTTACAATAAAAAACTAAAGCAAACCTTTCTTTGCTTCTTCTTTTGTTGTATGCATACTCTCAAGCATTCCTATACCACCACTAAACATGATGGGCTTAACCCATTCTCTTCTCTCAGTATCAGAAACCATCATGCCAAATGACCGGGAGAAACCGGTTAGAACCGGTTCCCCAAACTTGTTGCCATAATCTGAAGCACCATTACTGGCTTCAACAGCGACTGATAAGGCAGGGGCCATGTTGCTAGGATACACAAACGTCTTGTCCTCCCATGGTAGATCATAACCTAGTAGATAGAGCAATAGAATAATGTTTTTTAAATATCCAGTTTTATAAATTATATTATAATTTTTATTATTAAATTTTTCTTTAAAGACCAAAACCAGCTTTTGTTTTGCTGGAATGGAACATACTGTATAAACAATTTTGGAACCTACGGTCAGTATTTATTTGGCAAAAATATTGATCAATGTTCAACCAAACCAGATTTCTTATGTGACTATCCCTTAGGCAACAGAATTTTGCTTTTTTTCCCCAACAGTAACCAGAACTATAACAATAATGAAGTTACTTCTATTTACGCGTTTATGAAGGTACATCCTGCAAAAGGACTTTCGATTCCTGGGCAACAGGGTATGTATCGACCAGTACATCAGGGTAACTCCCTACTGGTCTCGAAGGATGTACTGGTTTCTTCAAAGTGCACACAAGTCAATTGTGTACAATGGCCTAAGGTTTACAGTCTTTATCTGAGAAGACTTGTTCCACCACCAGATCCAAAGGTGAGCATGCAGCTTAAACCAGCGCCAATTTTAAGGGCTGTAGGTTTTGGCACACCTGTCTTATTCACTCGGCCATCCGACTCGGATGTACACAATACAAAAGAATTTTACACAAAATATCAGTGATAAAGTGAATGAAGTGCAGAATTTACCTGGAATATTCAAATTTCCAAAGCAGTAACCTGCTGTGCCGGCCACCACGTGTGCCCCCTTTCCAGCAGCCTGTACGTCTCGTATTCTACCCCCAGTTCCAGTGGTAGCACCTGGGAATGGTGCCACTCCAGTGGGAAAGTTGTGTGTCTCCGCTGTGAAGATGATATGCCTGAATGGTTCTGATTCCTCCATCACACATGCTGATCCAGGATTGGCTGGCTTAAGAACTTTGACCTTATGACCTTTGATTGCACTGAAAAACATGTATAATACAGGTTTTCAATAAATGATTGATGCTGCCCAGATAAAAGCCATTTGTAGTTGATATTCATGAGCACAAGTAATCACACACCATGCTCTACATAAACCAAGTTATGCGTGGGACTTACGAAGTTGTTTGTTCGTCATCAGAAAAATCCTGTAAATTGACCAAATTTAACCCAGCATTTTAAGCATGAAAAGCAATTAGGCAGCACCCAAGTTTAAAATAAATTTGTCCTCATACAAACATGTTGGTGTAGAACTCAGATGTGTATAAGAGACAGAGGGAGGGGGTTTGGGAGAAGTGGACTTGGTTTTAATGCTAAAACATTGCAAGTTCTGATTTGAAGACTTTGTTTCCCTGAAGATACTGAAAATGATTTACCTGCTATTGTCTGAGAATTTAATGACATTGTTATCATTGCTGGTTTCCTGAGTCGCCATGACCATCTGGAATAAAGTGTTCTTTTTCTCTTCTCCGTCAATTACCATCCTGCCTTTGAAGAACCAATGGCGACTGTGCTCACTAGGAAACAAACGATCAAAAATAGACAAGATTCAATTATAAATTGTTGAACAGCAAAGTACTGTCCACACTATGAAATGGGGCTTGCTATGACAAAACCAGCATCAGCGACAAAAACATGAATATTCATATTCTCCACATTAAAGCTTTCAAATGATAGGTCACTTTAATGGAATCAACTTACTATTGCCAAAGTTATGAGTAAAAGTATTACGATCTCTCTGTACTAAAGTATACAATACTGGCACATTCTTATGCTACTTACTTTAAAAATAAGCGTCAGTATGCTGGCTTGGGATGGCAAGCCTTAAATGTTCGGTGACAAATATATGTGGTTTGTTATACATGCGCATTATGTATCAGTGCAACACCATATGTACAGTATGATATAAATGTATAATGTATGTCCAGGCCACTGATAAAAAAAAAGACAATTTCAGCAGATACTTTTTCATTTATGACACACACTACTACACATAATAAACATAATATGTGCAGAAGCGGTTGGCGCATCGGTTGTGGATTGGACTCCCAACCTTGAGGTCAGGGGTTCGAAACTCTCACTGTGCAATTTACCTACAGTTGCCTCTCTCCACCCAGGAGTACAAGTGGGTACCTGGTAGGTTCCAACAAAACTGCGCTGATTACTAGCTGCAATATTATGGAATAATATAATTTAATTTAATACAGTAACTTAATTTCAGGCCCATAGCCAGGGGGGTTTTTAGGGGTTCGGGCGAACCCACCTTTTTCAGCGAACACCCCTTTTGCCAGCGAACCCCTTAGCCAGAAAACGATCCCCCGTTTCCAAAATAGTGCAGTTTATTACAAAATGGGAGCATTTTTGGCACTGTTTATTTGTCGCTATCGATCATAGAAATCAAAACAAAGCTGCAGCCAGCTGAATGACGTAACCAGCAAGACTTCAAAATGAATATTAATGAGAGGTTTGTTGCCTAGGCTATTTGACCAATTGCGTGCTCCGGAGTTCATTACTTTGGCACGACGTCATCACAAAAGTTTGGGCGCTCCTCCATATTTTAATATATTGGTATTTAGCGATCTCATAATGTACAAGGTCTGTGTTTAGTACAGTCACCTAGTGGGCATTGCTAATTTTATCCCAGTTATATTTTTAGAGATAACATTACATAGTAGCATTAAAATGTTAAGCATTGCTTTTTAATTAAAAAAAAAGTTTGTTTCACAATAAACATTTACGTTCTAAATCCTGTATTGGAGAAAGTAGTCTTCTTATCTTATTTTTAAAATTGTGTAAGAAGTATTTAAATATACATGAACATGCATTTAAATGACATGTACATGCTTTTAAAATCGTATAAATGCTCTGGCTTCGGGGGCTTCGTCTCTGGCCCCCACAGGGGATTTTCCCCTTGACCCCACCGGGGCCCTTTGGCGGGCCCCTGGACCCCACGCTCAGAACCCCCCTCTTGAAGCATGCTGGCTACGGACCTGAATTTGGTGTTCAGTATATGTTCCATATGTGTTTGATCAAATGACCAGGGTAGTAATGTGAAGCGCTTAGAGGCTTTGTGCATGAAGCGCTATATAAGGACGACATATTATTATTATTATTATTACTCGTATTTATGACATATTATTATTTTTATCTCTCATTTAGGGGTTATTTGAGGAGCCTAAGTGATTAAACTTGGTCTTGAACACAAGGAGCAGGAACATCGATTCTCGCTTAGGCGCTTCTAGTCACTGCTTCTCTTCTCAGCTGATATAAGCATGAACACCACGCTCATCGGACAGGTTTATGAAACAGGAAATGGAACTCCCCGGCATTTCTCACCTGTTTGGAACTCCCCAGCATTTCTCACCTGTTTGACTGAGCCAGATCAAATAGTTCAACGCTTGTTGGGTTGCGCTTAACTTTCTCAACAAACATGTTGGTGTAGAACTCCAAGTCCCAATCATCAAAAGCAAGTCCTAAGAATTAAATGTATAGATACAAGGTATTTTAATGGTAAACCCTGGGGTACATGGCTCAGAATCACACAGATATACGTCCTATAACTAAATCAGCGGAGTAATTTTTCTTTCTATAATTGGAATCATACTCTAGAGGCATATTGGTGGACATTTTGAAACTCATCCTTTCTCAGTTTGATGGTTGGCTTCAAGATTTCAAAAAACACTGATAATAACATATCCTCAAACAGTGACTTACAATTCAAGAATTACATTTCTGATTGGGTTTGACTTTAAACATACAAATTAAAAATATACATAAGAGTTAGAAACCTATTAATTGAATTGTACAGAGTACAGATACTAACCCAATTCCTTATTTGCCTTTTCCAGAGCATCTTTGCCTTGACCTAATACATCTACTTCGAAAACTTCCTCCGATTTCACTTGGATTTTGAAGTTGCTGATTGGTTGAGTGTAGCGGCATTCCGTCATGCGATCATGCAGTGCTGCTTCTAGGAGTCGCTCCTCTTCCACGCTGATAGAAGCGCGAATCCCATTCTCATCGGCTACGTTTATGAGATAGCGAATGGAACGTTCTATGCGAGTCACTTTGTTGATTCCAGCCGATTGGCAGATGGATACGGCATTTGTTGACCAAGCCGTGGAGAAATTCAGCCTAGAATGAAATTAAAAATTTGGATTTGTAAAAGAATAAAATTAATATCCTTTAGAAAAATGATATTAAGGCATTCACGATTAAGTGTCCATATTAAAACAATAAAATAATGTATGTGTTTTCTCACCTAGGTCCAATTTCAATAAGTAAACCATCTGGCTCTTGGCCATCCTCAACGATGACAGATTTACTGAGCAGGCTACACTCCTCAAAAGGTGTTCCTAGGATCCACTGTATCTTCTTCTGTTCCTCTGCACTTAAGTAATCTAAGTGAGAACATTACATATCAATATTTGTGTTGTCAATATAGCCCTTTATTTCTGCTGCCTTTTACTTTCGCGATTTTTACAATTTGGATTATTCCGCAGTCTTATATTTTTGAGATTTTACAATTTTTTTTTTAACATGATGCAGAAACCTACAATTTCTTGCATGTTTCTTAGTCTATCTTTTAGCTAGAACTCCCCATTTTGGTGGGGTTCTCCCGATTTTTCAAGCAATCTAGTACCTTTCCGGTTCTTAGGCCAGGCCTAGCCCAGCTACCATATAATAGGAAGGCCCACTGCAGCTACTTCAGGGCAGTCTTGAACAAGGTTTTTTCAAATTGAAATGTTTGAAATATCGCAACAAATGTAGTCCTAACAAAGTTGACCAAAATGTTTACCAAGAGTTATAATAGTTAATGGTGAATTATCGATTAATATTAAAATTTATTTACCTTCATTTTCTACTGCTACATTGAAACATATTTCTGTTTTTATGTCCTGTAACATTGAATTTACAAGCTGCTTGTTCAATTTCTTCCACAGAACTTTGCGAGCCCCAGGAAGAAGTGCTGGACTTCTATAAAAGTGATTAACACCCATTGCCTTCAAAATAAACAGAATTACTTTTTAAACAAGATGTCTTGACCTGGCAAAAAGCATACCTGTGAATTTATGGGTTATTTTCCGGGAGATTCATGTTTGCTCTTAGATTTGCGGGAGGTATCCCAATTTCCGGGAGACTCTCTGGGTGATATTATCAACAAGAAAAAAAATATATACTGTATTTATTAGAGCTCATAGAAAAAAAATATTATATTATCACTCTTTAAAAATAAAGAAGTGTGATGAGGGTGGGCGTTTTTCTTAATCTGGAACAACAAAATATTGCTTTTCTTTATAGATGAGGGAGGAATTGTTCTTATTTGGCAAGAACATTGGAAATATTGTATTAAAACTGGTTTAATTTTATTGTTCTTTTAAAGAAAATGTATTTCCAGTCACAAGATTGCATTGTTTTCTTTAAGCTATTGAAATAAATGATGCAGCAATTTTTTTCATTTTTTTTGGTTCCCGCATCAATATATCCCAAATTGTTGACGCGGACGGAGTGATAATTTAACAATTTTTCTATGTTTTCTATAAAAAGGTCTAGCTAGAAAACAGACTAGCTTGCCATGGCTACTATGTCCCTATCCGGGTTCGCCTATCTCTAGATGCTGCTAGGCCTAGCGCTAGGCCAGAAGAAAATCACACAATAACGCCGGGTAGAGTGAAAAATCATTGTGCACGGTTGATTGTGTGTGTGGAGAGGAGACGCGGACCCGGTCTAGGCCTCTAAATGTAGGCCTAGTCATTATTATTCGATCACCACTTTATTAAATTATGTATGGACATAATATAGTGAATAAAATGTTTGCTGAGCAATATACAACTTACAGTGACTAGATAGTAGTCCAAAAGCCCCTGCGAACACGAAGACTAAACAGTAGCTAGGCTAGTCCTAGCCTCGGATTTCAAACACAAACACAGTCGTAAAAAAACGTACATGTGCGATGCCGGATTTAAAAACGCCACCTTACGGTGGCAAAGGGTTATTTGAAAGTTCAACAAGATGGGGCGGTAACAAGCTATTTTTTATGTTCCAATTTTGTTCCAAAATTCATGATTTTAAACCTGGCGAGGCCACAAGCCATTCTTATCTACGAGTTCCAATTTTGTTCCAAAAGTTAAATGATTTTGACTTGGCGAAGCAACAAGCCATTCTTCTCTGTAGTGTTCCAATTTTGTTCCAAAAGTTAAATGATTTTGACTTGGCGAGGCAACAAGCCATTCTTTTCTGTAGTGTTCCAATTTCGTTCCAAAAGCTATAGTGACTTTGACTTGGCGAGGCAACAAGCCATTCTTCTCTGTAGTGTTCCAATTTTGTTCCAAAAGTTAGATGATTTTGACTTGGCGAGGCAACAAGCCATTCTTCTCTGTAGTGTTCCAATTTTATTCCCAAAGTTAAATGATTTTGACTTGGCGAGGCAACAAGCCATTCCTGGTAAACAGGGGTGGTGCCAGCGAAAGAGGGAAGGGGACTGCCTTTGAAAGCTTCCCCACCACTCCGCCACCCCCACCACTCCCTCACAAAAAAAACAAAGGAAAATAAGAAAAAATTGATCGGCCCAAAAAACGCCTCAGATGTTATTTTTAGGCGTATAGAAAAAAAATTCAGGGGTGGGGATGCTCAGTGGCGCCAGGAATTGCCCTACGGGGGAGGGGTGCCGTCCCCGACAAAAAAAAAAGTCGGCGTGGTCGGGCGTCAATCAACATTTCTCTGACGTATTACAGAGGGAGAATCACCCTAAAAATATGACAATATGGGTTTCTATTCAAATAATTACTGTATAGAGGTCTCCATTATAATATGCGCACTCTAAATCCAGGGGCGGATTTAGGGGGGG